AGTAAACATTATATACGTGATATGAAAACAGTCTACTGTCCATTTTTCTTTGATGAAATATATTTCAAGGACACATGTCGAAACTGTTTAAAAAAGCATTAACAGCGTAAATAGATAAGCTCTGATGCGGTTTAATGCACCAATGATATGTACGTTTACCGGTCTATTTAGATATATATCATGATCATATGTGCGTGGGCTAACTCTGATATGGGCTATGATTTTAGATGTAAAAAGATGAAATATAATTTAAGTAGAAATAAATGATTTCGTAAGTGCAACTACACTTCGCTTCTGAATTCATACGAAGCTATATCTGACTTATCTAAATAGAAGGAAGACTATCATCCAAGTTACTGTTTTGGTCGGGTTTAATGTTGCATCAGTACATGTCATTAGGTGACTTTACAGCTTAACTGGTTAAGGAAGACCTTAGGTGCATCTTCGTGAATTATTTCAGGCACAACATGATTTCGTACATGTTTCTTGTCAACCAAAAACAGTTCAATTTAATATTTTATTGCATTTAACATGTACATTTCAGAAATGCCTATTTGTTTGGTAGTTTGCGCTGATTTTAAGTTAAAATGGTCCTAATTCGGCTGTCAGTTGGTCAACCTAACCAGCTTCTCTGCATAATTAATCAGTAATTGCAAACGACCGACTACACATGACTTTATTTTTAAATCAGCGGTGACAAATGACCAATATTATGTCCGAGATAAACTGTCACTGAGAATATCCGCCTTGTCCGAGGGTGCCATCAGTAATCTCTGGATTACAAATCCGATGCTCTCCATATTGAACTAAGCTGGAGGATGACGACTTGATGTGATTTTTTGGTGAGCATGTGTAGCGTGAACAAGAGTATGTATGCTATTTATATGCATTTAACGATTGTTGATTACACAGATGTTGCATCAAAAATATATGCTTGGTAATAAAGATATATAAAGAGTATGGATTTTCTCCTCGTGAGTCTTTTTAAAATGCGACTTCAATTTTTGTTAAACCATTAAGCTTGACAATGAAAGGTATAAAGCTATATTTCTTGTTATATTTCTATAGCATTTATAAACGGTTTTCATAATCTAAAAATGGATTCTCAAAAGAGGTGTACATAGAAAGTCTCTGTTATTTATCATACATGAAAAGTGTACGAAAACAGAATAAAATGTTCCTGAAAAATATATTGAACAAAAAAATTATACTGTTATTTTAAGTAGACTTTTAACCATTTACCAATGATTTCGTGTATGTGCCTTCCGCTTCTCACGAGCAAATATGAGCCGCGTCACGACAAATCCAACATAATGGGTTTGCGACCAGCATGGATCCAGACCAGCCTGCGCGGACGCGCAGTCTGATCAGGATCCATGCTTACCAACCCTATAACAAGTAGAGAAACTGATAGCGAACATCATGGATCCTGATCAGACTGCGCGGATGCGCAGGCTGGTCTGGATCCATGCTGGTTGCAAACTCATTATGTTGGTTTTGTCGTGACGCGGCTCATATACTTATTTCATACAGGTATTTTCGGAGTATTATTTTCAAAATTAAAACAATCATTTTGTTAAAACAACAGGCAACAGTTATATGGCTTTATACCCTTTAACAGCCTTGTGGTTCTGTAAAAGATGTTAAATCTCAAAGTGCAAACATAAGGGAGTGACATAATCCGCCTCAATACATCCCTGGTAGTTATTGATGCGCTGCTATCTTCATTTAACTCTAATCATATATTTATAAAACATGTGTGTCAACATGATATGTGAATGTTGTCTGTTACATAAGGGAGCGACATAACCGCCTAAAAATACATCCCTGGTAAAATTTGTTTGTTTGTTTCATTTTACGCCTTTTCCCAACAGTATTCCAGTCATATAGGCGGGTATTTTCCTAACCATCGTTCCTGGAGAGTTACACCAGTACTAGACTACCTTCCTCCGCGCTAAACTACCAATGCATCTCCCGGGGATCGAACCCACGTCAGAGAGGTAACTGGATTAGAAGTAAATTACATCCCTGGTAAAATACATCCCTGGTAGTTATTAATGCGTTGTTTTCTTCATTTAACTCTAATCATATATTTCATTTAATATGTATCAACATGAGATGTGAAATGCTGCCGTTTTGTATTTATACCGATTTGAGAAATGTATTTGTATTTATCAAAACCATTTTTAAAAGATTGAAATAACGCGAAATACGATAGTAATTGTTGTCTCGGGTTATCCTTGTAGTATAATAACTTTCTGAATAACCCTAAGAGAGCGTCCGAGCAAGGACTTACATTCTTATAGCTCTTAACTCTGTATTTACAAAGATTTAAGATTCAGTATCAAGATCAGAATCAAAATTCATCTTTTCTAAAGTTTATTATATAATATAATATATATATATATATATATATATATATATATATATATATATATATATATATATATATATATATAATATATATATATATATTAAAAAATTGATTTTAGATTTACAATGGACTTGAAATTGCATAAGATGGCGGAATTTTCGTGTTCTTTCGTAATTTCTTTACAATGTATGCACGTTTGTCATATAATGATCTTGATCCTTAAATTGATCTTTTAATCTTTAATATTGTGATTTGACTTCATTCTTTTCCAAATTAGTTAATAAGTTTGTTTCGTTGCAAATCAGCTAGTTTTTATTTAGAAATGCAATATATTGATTCAGCCTTATATGATCAATTCAAGTTCTATATATCAATGGAAACAAAAATCAGGAGCATTTGATACTGATCCTGTTAATTTCGTTAACACGGATCCTGACACCTTTGTAATTGTATTCCCATGGTAATGGCTAGTCAAGCGTTGTGATGGTCATAAGATGTCGACGGTGGCGTCCAATACTACGTGTTACAGCTGTTGGTTGTAAGTACTTCTCTTATGAGTTTGATGATATAAAATCAAATATTGTAAAAGCAACAACAAAAAATGATACCGCAGGGCATCAAAACAACTGCCAGTCTTTTGAAAAGACCACCTTTACTTGACCTGTTATAGGTAATGCAGCTTCCTATGCACTGTTTGAACCGCGTCACGACGAAACCAACGTAATGCGTTTGCAACCAGCATGGATCCAGAACAGCCTGCGCATCCGCGCAGTCTGATCAGCATTCATGCTGTTCGCTATCAGTTTCTCTACTTGTAATAGGGTTTGTAAGCGAACAGCATGGATCCAGATCAGACTGTGCGGATGCGCAGGCTGGTCTGTCTCCATGTTGGTCGCAAACGCATTACGTTGGTTTTTTCGTGACGCGGCTCTTTTGTCTCCTATTCAAAATAGACATATTTAGTAAGAATTTCATTAATTTTCTGCAATAAGTGTATTTTACACAAGATGAGCATATTATATTATTAAACACTCATTATGCTTCTTGTATTTTAAAAAGACCACTTAAACTTGACCTGTAAAACGTAATGCGGCTTTAAATGCATTGTTTGTGCAAAATAGATCTAGACATATTCAGTAAGAATTTCCTTGATTTCAATAAACCAAAGATGAGCATAATATAGTTTTAAACAAGGGTGCCATAGTCACAAAATACGCCTGTTTACGAAAGCTTTAGATGGAGATGGGGGCATTATGGATAAGTGTTATCTAGCAAGCAAGTTTTTATCCTTGGCACTGTGTTGTAAAATGAACATTAAAACAAATCAGTAGGGAAGATATGCACAGGATGTGTGACCTTGACCTTGGTCGCAGGGACCTGAATTTTATGCACGGCACTCAGCCTCACAATGATGAACATTTGTGCCAAATTATATTGAAATCCCTCTATGCATGTAGAAGTTTTGCTCCAGACAAGCGTTTTTCTATGAGCTCTAACTGTGACCTTCACCTTTGACCTAGAGACTTGGTTCATGTGCAGGGCACTACGTCTCATGGTGGTGAACAATTCTATAAAGTAACATTAAAATTCCTCCATGCATGTAGAAAATATGCTCCGGACAACATCTGGATATTTAATCATCTCCAGTGACCTTGACCTTGCAAATATTAACCTAAATTAAATGTGTCACACCTGTAGTCATGATAGTTACCATTTGTGCTACAATCCATCAATAAATGATGACTAAATGGTCCCTATACACATCTTCAAATTTTTATCTGAACTTTGACCTCTATGTGTAACCTTGACTTTGGTCGCAGGGATCTGAATTTTGCGTGCGACACTCAGCCTCACAATGGTGAACATTTGTGCCAAGTTATATTGAAATCCCTCTATGCATGTGGAAGTTTTGCTCCGGACAAGCGTTTTTCAATGAGCTCTAAGTGTGACCTTGACCTTTGACCTAGAGACCTAGTTCATGTGCGTGACATGGCTTCTCATAATGGTGAACATTTCTATGAAATTTCATTAAAATCCCTCCATGCGTGTAGGAGATATGCTCCGGACAAAATCTGGATATTTCATCATCTTTAGTGACCTTGACCTTGTATATATTGACCTAAATTATATGTATCACAGCCATAGTCTTGATAATGACCATTTGTGTTACAATCCCTCAATAAATGATGACTAAATGGTCCATATACACATCTTCATATTTTTATCTGAACTTTGACCTCTATGTGTGACCTTGACCTTGGCCGCAAGGACCTGAATCTTGCGCGCGACACTCCGCCTCACAATGGTGAACATTTGTGCCAAGTAATATTGAAATCCCTCTATACATGTGGAAGTTTTGCTCCGGACAAGCATTTTTCAATGAGCTCTAAGTGTGACCTTGACCTTTGACCTAGAGACCTGGTTCATGTGCACGACACTGCTCCTCATAGTGGTGAACATTTCTATGAAGTTTCATTAAAATCCCTCCATATATGTAGGAGATATGCACCGGACAAAATTGGACGCCGCCCGCCCGCCAGGGGCGTTCCCATAATACGTCCCGTTTTTCAAACGGGCGTATAACAGTCATTGCGCTTGTTGTATAAAACAAGTGAACATATACAAATATCATTTGATCTTTATTTTGGCAAAATACTGTTTTAACATTATTATACGACAATTATGGATTTTCTGCCAGTTAAACTGAAGCAGTGTATGTCTCTAACAAGTTGACAATGTATTGTTCAATAGATACCTTGTCAGGTTGTTGACACACAATGAAAGACTAGGTTTCCAACACTTTTTATAAGACGACCGTTTTAAATATACAATGCATTATATGCTATTCACATAATTAATATAATCAGTCACTATTATGGTTAATCGCAGATCCAGCTTTATAAACTCTGCTAGAAAACACCGCCATTACAGTTTGTAAGTGTCTTTTTTTAATTTTAGTTTTGTTTCTTTTCTTCTGCGTCATTTTCCATAAACCTACACTAAACATATGCAATGTACACGTAACACTGAATTCTCTTACTTATAGAAACACATAAAACAAGTTTTATCTATGTTGTCCCGTACATTTTTACATGTCAATATTCAAATGTCAATTTTTCGAGTGCTAGCGGCAACGTTTTTTAGAAGTATAGAGCAAACCAAAACTTATTCTTAGCCATACAATATCCAATACAGTCACTTGATCCTAGATTGTAAATTGATTTGACAATGGACAAGCTAGGTAAGTACACTACACACACGCAGCGATGAAATAGTAAAATACTGTCAATATGCCACTTACGCATCTCCATTTGAATACATTTGTCTGAATTTAATATTGCACTATTTTGTGACTTACTTGAATGGTAAAATATCATTATTCAAGTCATGTATTCGGATTAGAATTTAACTGAACAACAAACACAATTGTTATGATCACAAAGCAGACGACATAGAGGAGTAAAAAGATCCGGTCTAATATTCTTGCCAGCTTCTGCCATTCTTCTCGTTCATCCTCATTGCCATCCGTGTGAACAAAGTGTTTTTCAATGTGTTGTAAAGTTCTGTTTTGTTCTCGGAGGAGAAGTTCAGAAAGTTGAGTATTATAACTTTCTTGGTCAAAAGATAATTGCGGGAGTGATTTCAGCCGCGGTTGCGATCTTTTCTGTGGATTTTCGGTATTTAATGGACGTGAGGTATGATTCATAAGTCCGATTCCATTTTCTCTTATGACGGTGTCAATATTTGTCTCTTCTATGGTATGTAACTGAAAAGGAATAATTTCACAATAATCACATTGTTGAAAAAACATAAACCCAATGTTGTTTACAAACACATGTATTATACCAACAAAACGGGCATTCAGCCGAATTAAAATATATTTTAATACATCAATTTTACATGTTTTGCTCATTTTAATAGGAAAGCTGTATGTAATATCTTAACATAATCTGTGTCTGCTTAACCCTGTTCTTCATATAGACGTTTTTTTCACGCCTTTTCACCCCCCTTGAGGTCTCAAAAAGTGAAAAAAATGCCTTATTTAGACCCAAACAGTTGTTTTCGTTTAAGAAATGATGTTAAAAAAGTGATCACTTTTTCGGCGTCATTCCCTATCAAATAGATACATCAAAGGGTGCCAGAGGCTGGATGTGCCCCTTCTGTTTGGGGGTTTGAAGACCCCTCATCTCCAAGAAAACTTTGGACTTGTGAGAGGCTAAAATGGCCTCAGGTCGACCTTCTGGTAACGTGTAACCAACGTTGAAAAGCCTATGACTATAACTTAATCCATTGAGAAGTTGCAGCACTTTGAAATCAGTTTTGATGGAAAAATCAACGCAAAATAGTGATTTTCGGCAATTTTGAGATGTCCCCTCGTTGCCATGGTTACAGTATATTTAAGATTGAGTACGCAGTTAAAAAGGCCATGGTCCAGTCAATACTTGTGCCAAGTTTGAACAGTATTGAATACTTTTTGATAGTTTCATAGCAATTTGAACTTGTAACAGGAGGCTTTTTAAATGAAAACAGCCATTTTTCACAAAATGCTCATGAAATAATTAACAAATAATACATGGCCTTGAGGGCAATATGCAAGTTTACGGACTGATTGGTCCGACCTCGGAAGGTATATGGCCCGAAGCGCAGCTGAGGGACATATACCTTCCGAGGTCTGACCAACCAGTCCGTAAACTTGCATTTTGCCCGAAAGGCCATGTTTTATTTGTTATACATGTATTATACCGAATCTAAATCCTTTCATCCCTTTTGTTGCTGACATTTTTACTTTAATTTGCTTTCAAATAATAATTTATTTGTTCAGTGTATGAAATATCTCAAACCCTAGTCGGATTAATTATTATTATTTTCAAGCAATACAGAAAAAAATCATGCTCTTCTTTTGTTATTCAATTTTTGTTAATCAAATTAAACAGGCAAAAAACCCGAACTTTAAGATTTAAAATGACGTCATCCAGTCCATATAAGAATTATGGACCGTCCCGGTCTGTATGCGGTTTATGGACCGGATGACGTAATATTAAATATAGAAGGGCGTATGCAAATGAGGTTAATATTGGGTTAATGAATGCACATAATGTCAATATATCATAAATATACTGATAATAAGATACAATGTATTGATTAAAAGCTACCTGTGTCAAAGGAACATTTTAGTAGAGACCTTAAACCTGTTCACAAGACCACTCGCAAAGAAAGTAATACATATTCCTCTCAGAATGATAAATGGTAAAAATAGCTTTTACACAATTTCTTTTTCTCGACAGCTATAAACAAACACTTCTTCCTTCAGTCTGTTTTATACAATTAAGCATGACACTGATGAACTAGCCGATTACTTATATCATAAAATGTGTATCATTTACTGAAAAAACATTACCTGGTTGCTATTTTTATTGTCAGATACAGAGGACGTACTATCTAGGTCATACTCTGTTCTCATGCAGCACGTTTTTGGGTGCCGCAGAAGATATTTCCGCGTCCATTTTGGAACTATTTTACCCTTGACGTCACCTCTATGATGCACGTTCAGCACGAGAACTGACATCACCAAGGACATACTGACTAGCAACATTGATACCGCAAAATAAGTACCTTTGAAATAAATTAAAAACAATTGAAGAAAAAAGATTTTTTTTAAATATACATTGAATCACGGATTTATATTACATGTAATATAAATCCGTGATTGAAGGTTTAAACTGCAGAAATACTATTCAATTAAAAATTCAAAAAAAAAAAAAAAAAAGAAATGGAGAGAAAACAACAAGAAACTATTAAATGAACTTGGGATTACATCCAACTTATATTTTGCAAAGAAAAAACCAATGTAAACTGAACTGTGGTAAAAATAGCTTTTACACAATTTCTTTTTCTCGACAGCTATAAACAAACACTTCTTCCTTCCAGTCTGTTTTATACAATTAAGCATGACACTGATGAAAAAGCCGATTACTTATATCATAAAATGTGTATCATTTACTGAAAAACATTACCTGGTTGCTATTTTTATTGTCAGATACAGAGGACGTACTATCTAGGTCATACTCTGTTCTCATGCAGCACGTTTTTGGGTGCCGCAGAAGATATTTCCGCGTCCATTTTGGAACTATTTTACCCTTGACGTCACCTCTATGATGCACGTTCAGCACGAGAACTGACATCACCAAGGACATACTGACTAGCAACATTGATACCGCAAAATAAGTACCTTTGAAATAAATTAAAAACAATTGAAGAAAAGATTTTTTTTAAATATACATTTAAGCACGGATTTATATTACATGTAATATAAATCCGTAATTGAAGGTTTAAACTGCAGAAATACTATTCAATTAAAAATTCAAAAAAAAAAGAAAAAAAAAAGAAAGAAATGGAGAGAAAACAACAAGAAACTATTAAATGAACTTGGGATTACATCTAACTTATATTTTTCAAAGAAAAAAAAAAAAATTGAATGTAAACTGAACTGTAAATCTAAGCATGAACAAAACATATGTTGCAGTAGCAATTTTTTTAACATTTAACACAAATTCATAATAGACTGTCTATGTGGAGTCCTGTTCTGGTACAAATTATTTTTATTATTTGGCATGATGCCAACATTGGATGCACTTCATGCATCTATCTCATTCCGATGTTACTTTGATCTATAATATAATCATATCACAATACACGCGCAGGGAAGAAACTACTTACCAAGAATTGGAAAGTTGTCTGAGGACGGGGGAAGAAAATCAGAAATGACTAGTAAAAACACAGCTTGTGACAATAGCACTGTAACCTCTAACGACACTTTCTCACCACTTTCAGATGGAAGTAAAAATCCTGAAATACATATTTATGCAATTAATAGATTATCATATTGTGAATAATAACGTGTTGTAAAAGGTGAGGACTTTCAGATAATTAAGTAAATAGGTTACAATAAAATTATCTGAAATGTGGAGACCAGGATCGCCAATCGCAACTACCCGGCCCTTTCCGTCAGTCTTCGGATAAGGACCTCGAACACAATAGTATGAATACACAGAACGGATACGGTATTTCGGTCTTACGTACGCTAAGAAACTAGACATGTAAACAAATAATAATATAATGCTGGGAGTTGTTGACAAGAATCAAGTAAATGCCCACCTAAAATAAGTGAATTCATAGATTCAAAAGCAAACAATACATTATTTGTATACTTATAATTATGTTTGTAGAAACCGAAAGTAATAGCAAATTGTTCAAGTATTTTGATTTTTTTAACATTTAACACACATTCATAATAGACTGTCTATGTGGAGTCCTGTTCTGGTACAAATTAATTTTATTATTTGGCATGATGCCGACATTGGATGCACTTCATGCATCTATCTCATTCCGATGTTACTTTGATCTATAATATAATCATATCACAATACACGCGCAGTTAAGAAACTACTTACCAAGAATTGGAAAGTTGTCTGAGGACGGGGGAAGAAAATCAGAAATGACTAGTAAAAACACAGCTTGTGACAATAGCACTGTAACCTCTAACGACACTTTCTCACCACTTTCAGATGGAAGTAAAAATCCTGAAATACATAATTAAGTCCAATTATAATCCAGTAGTCAGTACTCTTCAATCAATTACACGGATTACATGTATACAGGTATCAAGTGACGTAGCGTCTACTATCTACTGCCAAATATGGTAAGCATGATGCAATCGATGTGCGTTAACACATTGAGGTCACATGTGTAATGAACAAAATGACCTGAGTAAACTGGAAAAGGACTTGTGTTTTAAAAATTATGGAGTGCAAACGGAAGATTTTTTTAGGCATCTTTTTTAATTTACCTTTCTATGGCTGCATGAATAATACGGAAAAATGTTGATACTAGACTAGAAAAACCTTTGGATATGGATATGTTTTTAAAAGTATGATATTTATTTTAAGGATTTGAATGCATCACATTCAAGTTTATTTTTGTACCATAATGATTCAATATAAATCTAATACAAAAAAATAAAATTAAATTTTGTATGATATACATGCGATTATATTCAATTTACAGGGATTCTAATTTTGTTTACATCAACTATTTAAAGTACCTATGTTTATTTGAAATTGGTTAGATATTATTCCTTCACACGGTTATACAGTATATATGTTAAGTCACAATGGTATATAGACAGATAGATGGTATTTAGATTTTAATATTCTATGTGACTATTAAGAGACTCCCTGTCATATGTGACCTTTTTCTGAAGGTCCCTTGGAAAGTCACATATGACAGTCACATAATTCATATCAGAAAATTCCGACAATTTTATAACACACGTTTCGTATCTGAGTGACCAGATATTATTTATTTATGATAATCATTTATTTACATGTATGAATTAAAATACATATTTTAAGTTTGAATGATAAACGAGTGGGAAGAATTAATTTGAGAATGCACTTAGCTGATATGTCTGCATGATAGTGCATTGTATAATTTAAAGTTGTGAACAATTAGAGAGCATCGATAGCAATAAAAACAAAAAAAATCATATAGTTGAAAACCGCAAACTGGAGTTTTTTAGCTGTTCAATTTGTAAAATGATTGTGTGTTATTTCAATGTATGTGTATGTTCAAACCTACGCTAGGATATACATAATTGCTTCATGAATATTCCATTACCATGCAAACGTCTTGCACCTCATGTAAAGATACGCTGAGAGCATGTTTTATAATAGTTAAACTCAGAAATAAACAAATGAGCCGCGTCATGACAAAACCAACGTAATGCGTTTGCGACCAGCATGGATCAAGACCAGCCTGCACATCCGCGCAGTCTGATCAGGATCCATGCTGTTCGCTTACCAACTCTATTACAAGTAGAGAAACTGATAGCGAACAGCATGGATCCTGATCAGACTGCGTGGATGCGCAGGCTGGTCTGGAATCCATGCTGGTCGCAAACGCACTATGTTAGTTTTGTCATGACGCGGCTGAAATAATTAAACCTACCAATCGCTGCAATAGCACTAACAAGTATACATGGAAACATCATTGTCATCACATAGAACGAGGACCTTCTTGACATAATAATGCTATACTCAACATCCGTGTACAGTTCTGTGTAATTCTTCACATTTCGTGTCGATGTTAATGCACTAACTACCCATTCATTGTTGTTGATAAAGTCATCCAGATCCCCTACATAATATAAGAATATTACACTTTTGCTTATATATTAACCCTAGATCTTCTGGAACAGACAGTAATTAGCCTTTGCCACCAGTAGCAAACAAGACCAGCCGGCATATCTGTCCAAGCTTTACACTGTTGGATGTCTAATTATGATATCCCCAAAATGGAAAGTTAAAAATGGGAATATTTACAAGATAAGCAGAATTTCGAATGAATTGTTTACTAAACATATTGTGGATATTAAGGAATGTCTTTATCCTTAAACCAAGTAATAAAACAAAGGCTGCAATCCTATGAAATGGTATATTTTGATTTATATGTAACAAAATTTAAGATAATTGTCACAAGTGTATTACAAATTGATATTGTTGTTAATTTCTGTTCTAAGTTTAAAAACAACACCAAAGAAATCGCACAGTGTGAGCCGGGTACCATGATTAAAATTGAAACATCGTGCCACATCATGCTTTCCATTCATCTCATTACCTTAAATACAGAGACAGACAGGTGCATTGATAAAATATATTTTGTAAAGAAAATATTGTTCCCAAGATGTTTTCAGCTGCGGTGCGTCTGTTTACAAAATTGTGTACTTATTTTTATCGATGAGATTTGCTTAAATGTGGAAAAGTATATCAAATTAAGTAAAGAAAACAAACATTTGAATAACATTTAAAATCTTCGACATAATTTATTATGATGAAACCTTCATCATCATGTGACTTAGGGATGTTTTAATAATTCTTGGTTTCTTTATACCAAATCGTTATGAGGAACAGTGAAGTATACTTTCTTTATATGAAGCTATTACAGTGTGTTATTGTATTATAGTAATGATATGATGAGGTCATATGTCATGGGGCCACTTTTAATCCATTGAAAAACAATGACAGTATTATTTCGATATGTGACACACTGGTTTCAAGTCTTATAAACTTTATTAATGCTGTTTTATTGCCTACAAAGTCCATTCTGTTTATAGCGTCATATTTAATTTTGATATATTGTGCTGAATCTCTGTTTTATGTCAAGAGAAACGAAGACAATGTTATAAGAAAACTAATCTTTGAATTTTCTTTGTTCTGTTTTATTAAATAGATATCCGTTAGTCTAATGAAAGTGGTAAATATAAATAGATACAATATATATATTATAATATTGTGCTAATGCAAACATATCCCAGATATATTGTTACGGAATATAAAAATGGTTATGTGTGTATTTTCATTAATTATAAAGCGTTACTATTTCAAACTCACTACTGTTATATTTATATTGAACTATTTTATATTATATACGGTTATTGTTTTGTTGTTAGTGATTTATTATAAACATATAGGCCATTTGATCAGAATCATCGCGTACCATTACATTATACTTTGATTGTTTTGGTTGCTTCAAACACTTAGCAGGAATAAAAACACTAGACAAATTAAGATTTCAGATGTTTAACTCATCACTTTACAAAACAATAGACTTTATAATACAAAGATAAAATGAAAATGGGTGAAAGTAAAGTATTATTTGCATGGTGGTGGAACAATTTTGACGTAAATCTGCTCTAAGGAGGAACAACTCATAATGATTGACTACACATGGTGGTATCTATTTTATAGGATAGCGTACATTTATCATGACATGTTTACATGATTAAAATGCATTATTCTTCTGCATCAGTTGAAAAGTGTTCCAATTACATATTATACATATACGTTCTATGGCACTATTTCTCAAACTATCTTTGTAATAACATTTGATGTATTACTTTCACAAAACGAATATGTAAGCTAGCATAACCTTCAATATTTAAACTTAGATGTCTTCAAATCTCAGTTTTGTTCTGTATTTAAAGTGATATATTTATATAAAAATAAAATCGTCTAACTCTTTCACCATATTAGCTGAATAAGTACGTGGTAATATTCTAGTATCAAATTGTATAATCGCAACCGCAGTGTTTTAATACATGTTTATAGTCCGAATATAATGTACTACATGTTCAATTATAACAACATTAAATACAAAAACTACAGAGTGCAAATAGTGCAAATGATGCTTGAAATGTCACTCACTGATCAGCGATTTTGTTGCAATATCTTATGTTATAAATTCATCGTTTCCTGAAACTTGTTTCTGATGGATGGATATTTATAGAAACAATGATAGCAGTCAGTGTTTTGTTTTGTTGTTTTTTCTGAACGTCAGGAGTAGTAAGACATACTAGTATATGAGTCTGGGTTTGTATATAAAGCATATTTGGAAGAGATTTGACTAAAGGTTTAACCTTACTTAATACTTCATTAACCTGAATAAAGTATTATCAAATATGTTAAGTACATCCATGAAGCATATGTAAACACAAAATACGTGTTCTTATGAATGTTTACTTTACTTCTGATACCAACTGAAGAAATATATTGTTTGCATAATGTCAAATACATTTGTATATTCTAAACCTCAAGATTGCTGACCAAGTACCCTTAAAAGTGACATTTCTCAAATCTATATTGAATAAATGACATTTCAAGGACCATTCACAAAACAGAACAGTATCTATAGAAAGATCGCTTGTTTCCCACGACAGAAGTATGGTCAGAAAAGCTAGAAATGAAAGTTAGTGCAAAAGTAAACACACCATTCCTACCGGATGGAGAAACAGGGTAAAAGTCCAAATCTGTTTGAGAGTGTGACCACGAGCCGAATTTAAGTTTACACGACTGCGTGTCAAACGGGAAATATGTGACCGTCACACGACATACACTGTTAAATACCGTAGGGAAATTATACTGGACGCTGCCATCGTGTAGAATTTGGGCCCGGTAATCAGTTAAACCAGGCATCATTACTTCTTCATTAGAACTGTAAATATATAAATATTTATATACACAATACATGTATTTGTACACAGTGTAAATTTTCTTGAATAATAATCGCTGGGTTATAACAACTGAACATAATAACTTTATAAACTGTCATGCACCGATAAATAACTGTATTGAATTATTCTGCTCTTTTAGCCATAAAATATTTGACAAAATCTGTCGGTTTATATTGTTAGTTTTTTATGTATTTATGACTCTCAAAATGGACGTAAGTACGTTGAAATCAATCATTGACAGCAGCTTGCTGTGGAATATTTTTTGCTAAATAATAGAATTATAAATCATAGATAGAAATTTAACTACCTATCGTAAAGTGCAATATCAGGTATCCATACAGCACTGTAAGGTACACGAAGATGGTCCACACCATTATAATCTGTGACGTTCCACCGTAACTGACAATCATTCCAACCCTGCATCATTAAAACTGCTATCATTATTCAATACATATATTTTTATATTTTTAGCTTTAAATCATATCGAAAAACTTTTTATTGACAATTCCACAAGATATGATATCTACTGTATGGTGATTTCCCTTTAAGGAGAAAAACTTTTTTCCAAAATGCATATGGAGGTTCATTAAGTCCGTTTGAAACTGATACGTAAAGAGGCCTTGTCACCTAAAAGTTATGATACTTTTAAAAAAATAAAGGGCATCTTAAAAATGTTTTTCTATTAAAAAATAATAAGAGTTGAGTAAAATTGTAAAGGGAGAGGATGCAATAGCTCTTTTATTCAAATATTCAATAAGCATTTTTTTCTAATTCTCAAATAACACCAATTTGATACTTTATCCGCACAATAGATATAGAGGCAAAAAGCTGTAAATCAGAATGATGTCAAATAAAAACATAACAGCGTAAAACATACAATTTTCAGCGAATGTCAGACACAATATTAACTAATATCATTTTCACATAGTCGTAAAAGGCTACATTGGTTTAATATGATAAACATACATTATTTTGAATAATGACATGATGTCAAAGATATCCAACTTGAAAGGTATATAGTCATCATTGTATCTGACCATTGCCAAAATAAACTTAATTTCGCACAAGAAAAAAAGAAGAGTCTAGGTTTTGTAATTCAGTGTCTCCCACTTAAGCTACTTTTTAATAATGATGCCATTATATCAAGAGCACCATAAGTAGGGTACACTCAAGTGTTCCGCCGTATACATTTTAATATGTTAGACCTTAGAGACATCGGTTTTAAACCACTACTCGAGCAATCTTACTTATGTTCAGTACATAGTGGAGAAACTTTGAGTAACATAATGGCCTTTGGCAACTTTAAGTAAGATATGTCACTTCCGGTATTGTATTTTATTATCTGTAAACAAGACATTGTACAGTTGATTTGAACTTTTTAGATAAACTCTTAAACAATTAACATGAAGCCTTGCGTAACTACGTAACTATTCACTAATCGAACTTAGGTATTTTGCTTGCATTTTAAGTTTTTGGCATCAAATTCGTTTAACTACTTCCAAAGAAATACATTGCATTATGTTTGAACAAAGCGCACAGGTGTTTGCTTAATGTACTTATCTACAGCAATAGACGAGCATTCTATCTAGGAAGTGTTGACGAAAATGACTACGATCGATATCTTTTATTCATTGAAAACATAAGTTTACATACCATCCGGACCCACACATTTGTCTTCAGAACTTGGTCCTTTTCGTCCTGTAAAGGATTGGTATAAAAATATTTATGTTTGAGAAAAACTGTAAAATAAATATGAAAAGACAAGTATTTTGTTTGCTATCTTACACAATGTTTTACCAAGCAAACATTCTTATGAATAATTCAAACATCAAGATTATTATGAGTATAGTAAATAACAAACACTTCAAAGTAATAAGGCTTCAATAGGTCAAAGAATATTTTCTCCATGTTTTTCTATAACTTAATGTAATAAGTGTATTTGTAACAATTCTTTGGTTACAATTCTTTTATAAAAGTCAAATGATTTATTCAACCGCAATACTTAGTTTTTGTCGTTTATTTATTTATTTTACTTAAAGTTTTATTTGTAATTCTCTATTCATGAAAGCATGATCTTTTGTAAAGTCATTTTCATGTTTGTTATGAACTATTTTTTTCACCAAAAGACGCATAATCAGAATGCACCCAATGTATAACACCATATCATGACCCTAGTGAAGCATAGTAGGAAAATACAAGTCTGGTATAGAATTAAAAACATGTCGTCTGCAAACCAATTATGGTAATATGAATAATTGCTTTTACTACCCACTAGTGAATTGTAAATAGGCCTCAAATTGCATGAAAATACACATAATAGTCTAACGGTGATAAGTTGTAAAACTTGCTATTTTTTATAATTACTTCTAATTGAACGTGTGCTGACAAATGTAATTTTGTGCACTTGAGATACCCAGAGATCGTATCATCATTTCTTTTCCTATTTTCTCGTTGACTTTAATAACTATTGTGTAAAAGGCTTACCAGGTTGATTATTTGTCTGAGGGCTATATTCAGACTGACGTTTACAAATCTAGGACCTGTCATGCACACCGGAAGTAAGTCAGGTTTGTAATTTTCAAACAGTTTCACGTGCAGAGCAGCCGATATGACGTCACTGGTGGAAGTCTCCCGCCATAGTAGTATCAGTAGAACTAAAAACAGACAACATCATTATATTATGAACTATATCGTTCAGCAATAGAAGATTTTGAATGATGAACATATTTATTCCTCCTTATATAAACGATAAAAGATATATTTGAAATGTGAATAGGTCAAACTAAAACGACAACTGGCTGAAAAAAAGACCACAAGTATTTATTGTACTGCTAAAACGAGAATTATAAACACCTTGATAATCATAATTGCCCGGGTTTGAATGAACCTGTTTATAGACTTTAAAATTTGTAATGAAGTTATTCAACACCAACCTTGTATAAATAAATATTTCAGTTTATAGAATACATGTAAATTGTACAAATGGTTTGCATTATTAAATTGCGTAGAAGATAGTTTCGTTGTCTATAAAGTGAACATAATATGTTTTGAAGATGCGATTTTTTTTCGAAATAAATGCATACATTCTTTTATTTGCATTAATTAATATGAAGCCAATATACTCTAAATACCTTCTATGTTGATTACTTTCAGAGATTTTAAGAAATTTTTGAATGAAATATTTTAACTTTAACATGATTGTTTTTGCATCATCAGAGGTTCGCATTAGCTGCAGAATTTCTGCAGAAATTAGCTAAACGAAAGCGTTGGCGCCAGAAAAAAAATGGTTTTACATTTGCTGGAATCTTTACTGAAATACATAAATCTATATAAAAAAGATTTCTCATATTTTCCTCCGAATTAAATAAACATGGATGATAATTACCTACTAATTGTCTTATACGATTGCAAGTGCTGCTATCATTAAATGTTTATAATGTAAGGTATTTCAAAGAGATATTTACACAAAAATGCCTGTATTTAAATGCAGTTCACCATTTATATCAATGATTTTTGTTTGGCATAGCTGTTTTAAAATCGTTTTTAATATACATTTGTAACCAATGAAATTGTAAGTTGCAAAACCATGGAGGAGGAACTGTTAGACAGAGGATGGAGTTCTTATGAAAAAAAATGTTACGGAGTTCCTGGAAAACGTTACGGATTTTGTCGGAAACGTTTGTATCAACCGAAGAAACACTCGTCTAAAATGATTATTTTCATGTTTAAAAAAAGTGTTTGAGGTGCTAGATTAAACTTTGATGGTTAAGCATGCCTAACATATTGTATTATGTGTCAGAAAACAAGTTCATTGTCCATTTTTCATCACTTCTTGTTTAAAATCTAGTAGTTTTGAGTAAAATTTCCAAATAATTTGCTCATTCGTACAAATTGATCTGTTAATTTGTGATTTTCATTGTCTAGCTTAATTACCTTATTTTGATGGAAAGTTGCAAGTAAGAAGCCCCGGCTAAACATTTATGCCCGATTTTTCAAATTTCCGGGTGCTCTACTGTAAAGTCTGAAGATGTCCTAGAGTACTTCTGATAACTTTTTTTTGTCTCATTCTTGTATTCCGGTTGTAAAAGCTCACGCGCAAATCAGTAGCAACGGAGAAGGCTTAGAAAACTGTGATAACATATAATTTTAATTAAAATGTTAATATTATTCATATCATTAACCAATCTTTTGGTTGAATATAACGCCATTGTTCCTTAAGCTATAACACGAACATGCAAAAAAATTAATATGAAAAAGCCAAAAAGCATATCAATGCGGAAATGCGAATGTGAAAATGCAATGATAGCCAAGGACAATAATAGCCAAGGACAAATGTGGTATCTTGGCCTAATTTTATCGTCCTCTAGAGAATAAGAAAATATTTAAACGAAAATATACTCCAAAGTTGGACTGTACCTTATCTTTTTTTTCTTCGGATTTTCTTATTTTCCGGACACAAAGCGATTTATTACCAAACGACATGAGCCACCATAAAACTTTGTGTAACCTCTTGATAACAGCAAGCGATCAACAATTAGCTCAAATTGACATGCAACACATTTTTTTATAATTTTATCTGGATTTATCCGCGAGTGATCAATAAGGGTATAAGTGTAATTCAGGTATTGAAATAACTGTATATTTAGGCAATCTCCGTTAAAATTAAGATTGTTAATCAGTATCTTTAATAAATTATTAATTTTATAATTGGCGTTGATTATATTTTAAATCGTAAATGAGGCCTTTACATGTAACATGAACTAATTTTACGCAAATTACATTTTTTTTGTAATACATTGCACCAGGTGTGTTTAATTTGGTAAAACTTAAAAAAAACTGAAGATTTTTTTTTTACATTGATCGAGATAAGATAGAAATCTCAAGAGTTCAAGAGTGTGCAAACTGCACACGGACATATGATAAATTACTTTCAATGGGTTTTCGGATTACCGGGACACCTGCAATTTTGAGATGCATATCCGGTATTTTATTTGTTTCTTATCTTAAATATCAAGTCGCACTTGCATTAAGTGCATTTTTTAACCCTTCTGGCAATCGAAGGAAAGATAATTTTAATGCATGTGTTAGATTCTTGGGTATAAAAATAAAATGCCTTTCCATACAAACATAGTTAATGTTAGTAACGTATATGAACGAATAAGGAAAGAGAAATCAATAACTAGAAACTCAAATTAAAGTTCAATTTATCTAAACCAAATGCATTTATCAACGTGTCAGAATTAACACTTAAAGAAGCATACCTCCCAGATTCATACTATTGTTCATGAAAATTTTTAAAATTTATTTAAAAGTGAAATATTGTGAAGTGAAAAAAGAATGCTATTTATATATTGCACGCACCACTAACAAACCACGTAAATTACCAAAAAGATTAAAATATACATAAACAGCACTTGCTGTGTTATAAACACAGTAGAAATAATACATGGTGACAATTACTGCGAAATAATTCATTAATTGCACAAAACATGCAAATTATAACTTGAATCTTGATTCTTTACACTTTTCATAAAATCTTACATTTTTCTGAATTCGAAAGTTGTTTAAATATTTTGGCTAACCTGGAGGCTCGCAGCTTTTACTTGCTGACTTTGTGTAATGGATTTGCCTCCCCTTGTGCTTGGGACAGTCCAATGAAATGAGGGATCATAGTATCAAAACACAAAAATTGAGGTACTACAGACTTATGTGCAGGCTGACCAGGCTCTATACCGGTTGCAAAGACATCATATTCGTTTCAATTAAAATTATATAATGTGAAGGAAAGCGGCGATCCATAATTACGACAATCATACAGAAAAAATGAATTAAATAATAAAGAAAAATCATGAACAAGGTGCCGGTAGCTGAGATATTATGTTAATTAAACTTCCAACTCAAACAAGAAAAAAAGAGCTGTAAAAATTAAAGCTGACCTTTGAATCGAAAAGTTAGGGAAACCTTGCAAAAACTTAGGTAACATTTTCTGGAAGCAAAGATACTATGGCATATATCGTAAGTAGCTCATCATAAATCATTAAGCACTTTACCATTGTCTTAAATAAATAATAAGAAAAAAAACGTCTGTAAACACGTAATTCATAACGAGAGAATTCTGCTTAAACGTAATATGCATATTTCACACAGTATAATTATGTGCATAAATCAAAGTAAAAACGTCTATATACATATATGAAGTTTCCTCATACATTTATATTACTCATTTTAAAGTGTTTGCTCTTTTTATGAAACATATTATGGGCTTTCTTGAAACTTTGCAATCGTCGCTCGTTATTTGAGTACCCGTAGCATTTGTCAACAAAGTTAGATCGTTCAAATTGGAAATTTCGCTTTTTTCTGGTGGAAACATAATATCTTTACATAATATGGCGATTTTTTTATAAAATAATTATCATTTGGAACAGAACAAGAGTATTTTTAAGGAAAGTAAGTTCCATATAATTCAAAACTTATCATAACCCAAGAACCGTTGTATACAATTTTATTTGTTAGGTGTACACCCTAAGAAGGAAAATTCTCGCTCCCGAGATAATATCTTTTTGTTTTCAAACAGGACAGATAATTAATATCAGTAGTTAGAAGGTGAAACTAAAATTTCTTTGATATAATTTGTCAATATGCAGCTAGATTTTTCAATCAACAATATCTGTTGACTTTGTAACATAAAACTATTACTAACAAGGATGCATTATGGTATATTAAATACCCACATTAGCAGGATCGGGTTCGTGAAATGATGAATGACTTAAATTCTTTTGCACGTAATAAAATTTAAATACACTGAGAGGGATAAATATTTGATTTCATCTCGAAATCTTCATTTATACACAGTGTTTACTTTTAGTGGGGCCACTTAAATTTCCGTATACTATTTAACTTCCGCAAAGCTTGTTTATGAAGTGTGTAAATAAAAATTACAAAATTTTAATATATCATACTTAATTTGATATATATTTGGAACAACGCTACTGATTATATCTAACTTAAGCTATAATTTTAAGTCGCAGTTTAGTTGATTTTTTCAAGTTGTAGTTTAGTTGAATTTTAAGTCAAAGTTAAGTTGAGATTATAATGTTCAACAATATAAGATGAACAAATAGCACCTCACGTACTTTTATGAGTGCACGTATGCCATACATCACTTTTTGAAAACTTGTTTTTGACCTGAAATGATTAGATAACTTTTTACCACTGATCTTTACATACCATGTAACTTTTAAGAACTTTAAATTAGAATTCACTGTAGGGGATAATTTATCAGTTAGTGAAAAAAAACTTTCGTAAGAGTGTTATCACGAATCACAAGGACAATTATAAAAAGGGTTATCCGAATTATAAGAGGGTACGCCACTTAAATAAATTGTGATACATCACGAAATCATCAAGATAAGTTATTTATGACTATTATCATGACTAACTTATGGTAACAAATTGTGCATGTCAAATATTTAAGTCAATTCTTACTTATGCTTATAAACTAGCTTTTGTACAGCTTCTTTTAAACTATTTCTTCAATCTGGAAAAATGTCATGCAGGTCAGATACTTTGGAAAAGCTAATCACATTTCATGAAAATATCAATGAACTGAATTGTCATAAAATGTGGAAAATGGGAGATTCCTCCGAAACAGTGAAAACAACCAAATCACATAAATAATTATTTTTTATTGAGTCTGTTCATCAGGGATAAATGGAAAAGTGCAACATCTCTCAACCCTCCCCCTAGCACCGACATAAGCGATATACAATCTTTAACAGTTAGATCACATAGAATTTATTTCAGTTAAATTGTGTTCGAAGCTAGAAACTTCTTGAAATACTCGCAGATCCGTTCCTGGTACCAATGATATCCATTAAGACCACAACAATAAAACAACAGAAAGTCAAAATGTGTGTTTAAATTGTTACATGGTGGCATTGTTGCGTGCTTTCATCTGTGTTGCTTTATTATTTTAATATTTTGTTTATAGTTAGACTTTTTATGAATAAAAGAGCGAACATACTGGATTTTTTTCTTTATCTTGTGGTCACAATATAATAAAACAGTAGAGAAAACAACAACAAAAACATAAAGCGTTAACTCGTGGTCATGAAGTAATTCAAAAGAAAAGTTCAAAAGATATGTAACCAATGAAATGATAAAAAAGTAACGCAAAACCACAATTTAACATTTCCTTTTATTCACGAAGTAATAAATCAGACCCCACATGTCTCCTATGTGCTACAATATAACCTTATGCTAAAATTCTGATATTGTATTGTCCATTTTGCAATATTAAGGAAATTTTTAATTTTTAGAGAGAATTTCAAATAGAAAATTTACTGACTAAATAGCGAACAGCACAAATCATGATAGGACGGCAGGGATGAAGGGATGAGCTGCCCGATGTTCGTCGCATGGGTTAAATATGTTGCATATGATAAGAATGAATGATCTCACAACATCTCTAAAATCATTTACACAACTTATCTATATACATAATATAGACTGTCATAAGCATCAAATGATTAAACAATACAATGCAGTACCGATGTGTTACGTTTATGATATTATTTTATCAATATCGAATGTACAGTTGGTATATGCATGATATGAAGAATTTGATAGACCATAACATGAAAGTAATGCATTGCTAACAACTTTATACTCATATACTCATAACAATATTTTAACACAAAACATTTAAAATTACAGAGTATAAACGACTGGCAAAATGCCTCGTTCACCTATCCTAGTTTGTTTAACAGTAACTAAGATTAACTGACTGTCATGGTGAGTGTAAGCACGTGTTTCGACGACAGAATAACCAAGTTATTTACATACTTCTTAAGCAATTAATATTATTCCATTTTAAACAACAGCACAAAACGAACAGATATTTTTTCACCTCTTAGTAGGCAAAAATGTGAAATCAATTTAAAAAAAACAAAACAATTGGTTGTGATTGTCAGAAAAGATACCAAACATTCATACGAATATAAAAACTCAAAATATATTGATCATCATATTTTATTTTCTTTTGTTTAGTTTTGCATTTTTTTTGTTTGATGATATTTATATTATTTCATCTCAGCAAAAAGCTTCAATTAAATGTCTGTTCAAAGCAAACGATCGATAAGGGTTTGCAAAAAGCATTTGTCTAGACCATGACTATTCGCGCAGTCAGATCAGGATCCATACTGTTCGCTATCAGTTTCTCTACTTGTAATAGAGTTGGTAAGCGAACAGCATGGATCCTGATCAGACTGCTCGGATGCGCAGGCTGGTCTGGATCCATGCTGGTCGCAAACGCACTATGTTGGTTTTGTCGTGACGCGGCTCACATAGTGTGTGCTTGTCGAAGATTTGCATGTTGCCTTTGGTGCCTTATGTGCCATGTAACGTATCATTTTCGCCACAACAATGTTATCATGTACGCCAACTATTATATTAATTCTTTGATTTTCGCCAAGTTTATTTCACTTTATGTGCAAGTTTTGTCTTTTTTATGAATTATGAAAAAGTTTAAGTATTTGCCAATGTGCCATCAATGAGAATATTTTTAACGAAGCAACAACCTGTGCAACATAATGCTTTAATTGCTTACTTAAATCAACTGGGGTTGCACTTAAAACAAAAAGATATGCGAAAGATAATAATGAAATATTCTCAAATAAATTGAAAATCGTATTTGTGTGCTATTCTTAGCCCGATTTGAGTGAAAGTGTTGCAATGTTTTTCAAGCTTTGGTCATTATAATAATTCTGAAGCGAATGATCTGAAAGGGAGTTTGCATACAAGTTATTTGTCTAGACCTGTATCAAATATAATATTAATTTCCAGTCCAACCTCGCTAGTGTATCAAAATGGATCTATGAAATAACAATTATCAAATATTATCATTTTATATTGAAAACCTTTTTTGTAACAATGTTTTATAGTATTGTAATTTATTTTAACACGTTTCTAAAATGTTTCAACTCGAGTTATACTTAAGTAGTATCATGTGTTTACCTTGGGTCTTAGCACATCAGTTTGTCAATATGGCGCCCTTATATGATCATTATGCCAAGGTCAAGTGTTAGCGTTCCTTTCAGATATCTGTGCACAATTCGATGAGCAACGTGACGCGTAATATCATATAATATTTTATTTTTAAATTCAACTTTAAACCGGAAGTATCAGCGAGTCGTCTGCAGATATAAAAGAGCATAAAGACCATCAAAGGCACGGCGTATGGACTATTGCTCTTTTATGTACAAAATATTGGGTTGCAAAAAATAGCACTAACTTGACTGTACCCTTGCAAATGAAGACTGCTTTTATCTAATTATCATGTTACTGTTAGAGGGAATCCGTGTCATTTAAGAACTTGAGTGGATTTATTATCTTAATAACACAAATTATTAGTTAACTTGTGAAGCTGCATGCCTCTAGATGAGCCAAATTATTTCAAGAAAATTAAACTTGATAAAAATGTGCTAAAATCTAACAAAAGTAATACAAGTTCAGATTCAAGTCATAACTTACATGTTATATACAGTTAAGGCCTGCAGTATTTTGCACCATATTTCTACTGCGTGACTAACGCAGTAAAGGTTAATTTTGTTTATTTCGACCTTATTTTGGAAATTTACGTGAACTGTAAGTGCTGTTTGCAAAGTGCAAATTATTTACTATATTTTATTATTTTTAAATTGTCATGAAAAATTAGCATGAATCTGGACGATCGCTGCTTTGATTTGACAATGTATAACGATAGACGAAAACTTCAATATAACATATTTGAAACTAGTTATACAACATATAAAATAAGTTTCCATCGACATAGAGTATACGCATGGATATATGAGAAAGAGTCAATATGGCGGGCTATCTACGATTTCAAACTGCTTTAAAATATTAACGGAAATACGGAGCGACAATTTAATACAATTATTTGACTAGGATCAATGTTAATAACTCTGTCTTATCATATAGTCATTTATGCGAGCGAAACGTTATAATTTGTCATTAACTGTGACAATGTAACCATGCTTATGTCAAGAAAATGTGTCATAAACTGTTTGCATGTATGTATATCAAGAATAGAATTGGATTGTGTTATGAATCAAATAAACATTGTTTAATGAAGTTACAGCAACTAATCTGTTTCCGTTTTGTTTAAGGACGCCATGTGTAAATAAGCAGTATAGTCCGTATATATCTACAAAATATTATCTTTATAATATAAATGTATGTAATATTCAATGCTTAATGAGGGTCCATTCGCCCTTCCAGGACCCCGGATATGTCACCATTCATGTCCTGAAAGGTTATTAACCTATAAATTTTGAATTCATTGATACTATGATTGATACTTGAAATGTATGTCGAGTTTTCTGATGTTTACTATTTTGATGCCCGGGAGGCTAATGGGACCATAATATGCATCATGGAGAAAAATAAGGGGTTACTGCCAAAAAACATGATCATATTTTTCGGACGAGCTTGACTGGCTGATAAGATTTAATCCCACGGACTGGTACCTGATACATGTAATCCATATGCATAGTCAACTTTCCAGTTTTTCACATGTAAAATATTAAGACTTTCTATACAACTTTTATTGCTAAACGACCTTCCTATGTATATACAAGTAACACAAAGTAAAAGAACGACTTAATATAGACTATAATTATGATTCATAGTTTTTGCATTAATTTAGTGACACTATATTTCTAAACTAGAGTATCAAATTGCGTTTTATTTTGGCTAACCTAGAACATCTGGTTATATGAATAACTGCATAATATGATAAATGTGGCATTTTATAAGTATATAGTAGGCAGTAACTATTACAAAAGATGCGAACTCTAATGGTATGAAAACAAATTTAAATGAATTATTCTTAACAAACAGTCTAACCACGTGCTAAAAAGTGGAAACTTTTAAGAGCTCAGATATCCCTTTTCATTGAAAATCATTTATCAATGAACAGTTTCAACATGTTCAATGTCAAACTGACTTTAAAATCGGTAATTTACCCATTAAAGTTAATGTATTTAACGCATGATCCCGACCGTGCACAGTTAGTAACTATAAAAACTTCGCGCTAATATTGCCCCCACTCAAATTTTAAATATCTTAAATAAATCTAACACAGACTCGGGGGGATTTCTTATGACTCGCTCCACACCTTTAAAGTATAATGAGAATGTGATAACAAACACATTCAATACTTTTCATTTATGTCAGCTAACCTTGACTAGTATAATGAATATGGATAATTTTTTATGTAAATACCTTTATTATCTCATTTTGCAATAAAATATACCACAGATAAACTTACCGAACCATAACAAAAACTAGTGATTTTACGTAAAAAAAAAGACACACACGCGAAAAAAAAAAACACTAGATGATCTAAATTTCTGAACAGATATGCTTAAAATATAAACCAAGCCAAGTGTTTGAGTAATCATTTTCAAATCCTTTCATATGTATACATGTATATATAAGTTAATACCTTACTTTGTTCACTTTTCACTTGAACAGAAAACAAAGCCAATTGTATTTAACTTTAATCTCATTAAAGAATAAAGTAAGACCTACCTGCAAAATAGCAGAACTTGAAGTTAAGGAGAACTGAATTCATATGAAAATTCTACATATAAATCCAGTAAAGAAAAACATCCAGACAGAAAATAAAATCCTCGTTTTTTGTCAAACCATCCAACATTAGTTAATATTGAATCAATTTTCACAAAATATGTCGCGCAAGCAACGTTTAATCCATGTAAAATACTTGAATGTAACGCTTGCGGTTTGTCTCATTTACCACTGAAATACCAAGCGGAAATCATACTGCGCAAGCGTAAGTTAAATGTTTGTAAATCGTCTGCAAAAGTGTTAAATTCGAAATCTCGTTTGTTATTTGAGTTTCATGGTTAATACTTAGATATGAAAATGGAAAAAGCAAGTTTACTTGATGTTCGCGAAAGTTTCAGGAGAAGAAAAGGCAGTAATATCCGAAATCCGAACAGGTACACTAAGATGACCGTTTGTTTTTTTCCCTGCTTGTAGAGAAGAACTTTTTTTTTCATCCATTTATAAATCAATAATCTCAACCACAAATTTTACCAGTCCAAGAAATCGTTCCTAAAGTTTGTTATCAGTGTATTTGAATAGAGTGTTCCAGAGCGACCCTAGCAGTGTTATATAACAACTGAGCGTCACACAATATTTTTCATTTAGATAATAAAATAGGAGTGAAACTTATTAACCTTTCCCTTCATTCTCCTACCCATATCAATGTACACTATCAATTCATAAAAAAACAAAAGAAATCTATAGAATTTCCATGATGCATTATCAAAACAAGACCACTCAAGATTGGACACTATTTCAAATGGACTTGTGATAGTGTATTGTATGATTTTCAGTGAATGCACCGGTATGCACCCGAAAATATAACATGTGGACTGATAAAAAGGTAATTATTAGTCCATCGCTTATCATGCATCTCGATCTTTACCGATAACAATGGTCGAAAAGCCCGTCAGAATGCAGGATAGTTGCCTATTTTTTCTATCACGTAAATAGTTACAATTACATATACACTTTATTGACAGACTCAATCAAACCGAGTCTGCAATTATCTTGTAATTTTGTTGTGATTAATGCTTCCGAGGGATCACTTTGTTACCAGATTTTTATACTTCACAACAGTAGGTGTCAAGTGCTGTGTGGCAGCTGTAAAAAGTTGCCCCATACTTCACTTCAGTGTTGTTATATTTTTCTGGTCCATCGGGATCATTGATGCCAGCACTATTTAGTGTTGAAAATTGAGTACCACTCAAGCCGGTGCTAAGGGGCGTGAGGGATGTTGCACGTATTCATTATCCCTCATGTACAGACTCAATCAAACCGAGTCTGCAATTCTCTTGTAATTCTGTTGTGATTAATGCTTCCTAGGGATCACTTTGTTACCAGATTTTCATTTAGTTTGTCTATATAAAATGTACTAGTTAATGCATGCTTTATTGAGGCCATGTAACCTTTTTCAATGCAAACATCCTCATGAACCTTTAGGACTAGTTTCAATATTTGAGGAAAGTACATTATTTCCCTGACATTATGGAACATTGTGACTTTCATATATATTTGTATATATAACGAGTGCATAATTGAGCATCAAGTAAGTAAATTTCACTAATATCGATACATTTTATCAGATACTATTCAGGGTATCAAGATAGTTATATCAGAATACGGGTTCGAATCTCACCAAGGACTTTGGATTCTTCTATTCAGCTTGCTTTCGGAACGTCGGTGGTTCTCCTTGGGTGCCCGTTCGTGCCTGAAATATTTCACAGGGAGGCACCTTTAAAATTAAGTCTTCCTCCATCAGTAAAGCTGGAAATCGCCATATGACGTACAAATCTAACATAAAAGAAAGGAAAATGTGTCATGCATAGAAATTGTATTAGAAAAATCATGTAGTGAAACTATGATTGTCCCATAAAGAAATCCACTGAGGTCCAAAACCCTAAAATATGTAACTTGAATTTTGCTTTTCAATTTTCAGTATTTTTTTTCACAGTTAAAATAAATAGTTATAATAAAATAGTTGTTCTGGAAAAAGGCAGATTAAGTGAATGATCTGAAATCATTGCACATAAAAGTTGTTGGTCTACGCCTACATCATTATTGTGTTATACATACATAAAATTTCATTTATTTTCATCCTATATGTATCGTTCAATATTATACTATATAGATTTATTATTCTTTGTTAAAAACTAGAAACTGTACAGTTTACGTGTAATAAAATTTGTATTGTTCTGTTTATAGAGTGTACTGTTTATTAGTTTAAACAAGTGATATAACATCTAGATATTAAAGTGAAAATATTTTCAAGGATAGTATACATTGTATCAAGTTAGCAACTTTTAAAATCATCTGTGTTTATCAATGTAAAGAAAATATTATACTAGAAGTAATGTTAAAGGCACATTATGTCTCTTAAATCAATATTTTAATTCTTTAGAAATGTCAAACATGTGTGTTATAGCGTTTGAATAATGAATTTAGAGCATGTTAGAATTTTAAACAACTGAAGAATTTGGCGCTGAACATGCAATAATGTGTTGTAAAGGTAGCAATATATTAACGACGTAATATTTTGACTTTTATACCTAATACTAATTGCCAACAAAGCTATTGTTGCAAAAGATTGTACGTGTATATAGCAAATATGTATTACTTTGGAAAAAAATCTGTAATGAGATACAAAACATTCAAATTTTTGAGAAATAAAATTGCTATCATTTCTGAGTCATAATGGGCCTTAAAAATTAAAGACAAAAGATACAAAAGGACTGTTTATAAAGCCTATCCCATTGATAACAGTTACTTCTCGGTATTACACTGTAATACGATAACTTATGAATAGATCTCAAAACAACAAAGCAAACATTTGTTCCTTTCAAGCTAGCACATAACAAGTGACAAATATAGTTACAAAACAATTATATTTCCTTGTTGTAACATTGCTGACAACTGATATTTTAGAAATACATATCTTAAGAGTATATATTTTCGCGTGGGTTAGTTGTATAAGTTGACGCGATACAGTGAGCATACAATATACGAGTAGTTACGTAATTTTTAGTTTTGTTTAGATATGGCCGTTGTTTTTTTATTTTATTTTTATCAAAATAACATAAAAATGAATACTTAGAGGAATATGTGCATGTTTCTGTTCATACTTTCTCCGACTGAAATGCTCAATTATGTGATTTCTCAAATTTTCGTCCGTTCAGTTATATGTTCAAAGTTGCTTTTAATATTTTTATATCAGTAAAGTATATCTCCTTTTTTCAAATTGAGTACATTTTCATTGATAAGTAGCTAAATTACACTCTTAACAGATAAAACCAAAGATCAAGCGTATAGTTATATGCAAGTTAAAGTATGAATCAATTAAATGAGGCATAAAGAACAAAGAACGCCGTCTACTGTTACTACGTGCCGATATGTTACAACCGATACAAAAGAGTAGTTTATTTTTAGTATTTGAACAAACGCTCGTTATGACGTAACGTACAAGACACATGATATAATGTCTTCATTATCGAACTCAATTAATAGCCCGTTTGTTTTACCGATAGTAAATTTATATGATTAAGAATATCATGTCTCTAACAAAATTATTAAGAATAAATGGAAAGGAAGCGTCTATGAAATACTGACACGAAGCAAACACGGATATAAAAGCATGGATATAAGCAAGTGTTCTTAATAGCAAACTATGTTTCTTTGAAACTAATACAAAAAATGTATAAACATTCCAATACATGATAACACTTTGAATTAAGTGAAAGTTATCAAAAGGGCATAATGCACTTTTAACAGAAATGACGCACTTTATTCAAAGAAGACTACTACAACTACAACCTGCAGGACAAGCCCCTCGAAACACTTCGTAGTGATTAATTATCCAGATAACATGCGTTTGTGATATATTTTTATCATGATCTAGTTAAAGAAATCGATTTCATTATAGCATACATAACAATTGAATTACGACAACGCATTCAAAATTGTTTTTTTTAATGGACATCAAACAAACAAAGATAAACTTATTTTAGATAGACTGTCTCGTTAAATTATATTTATTGTTTCTGTGATTGCACCATATTGGATTATTTGGTCGACAGGCATGCCATAGCAATTGATTAATATCCTTTAATGTGTACACCTGTATTACTTTAGAGCATAGTACAAAAAAAAGAAGAAAAAATAACGTGTAAGATACAAATACATGTTGTTTTTTTAACAACTAACTGATGTATTACGTGGCAGTTGAACTTTTAACTTCACACATTGATCCTTTAGCGATGAATATAGACACAAAAGAAAGCAAAATTGGTGATACACCGGTACTTAAAAGGTTGACAAGCTTGCGACACTATTCATATATATCTTTATAAGTTTGCCACTCTATTCATCTGTATCTTCACAAGTTATATTTCATTGAATTAGTGTGAAACCTACTGATTTACCCCCGTGATATTACCTATATAAGTAGTGCCTGTACATGTGTTGAAGATATACGCTGGTGGATGACCATGATGAATGTTAACCTTTATCACTAGATATCATTTTCATATCCCGTATCTTCTATGCTCATCTTTAGGTACAATATTTTTATTGAAGAAATTTGTTGAAATGTAGGAAAGCTTTACTGAATATGTCTAATTTGCAACAGAGAATACATAAATGAGTGTTAGGACATTATCTTAAATTTAGTCGCTTAAGCCAATATGAGTGCAAAATATTAGATTAGATGGAACTCGTAAAAAAACTGTACATTTTTGTATATCTGAACGAATATAACGTCTGTACAAAATTACCAGTAGTTTGTATCGTTGAATATTACTTATGAGTACAGTTGCTTTTTTAAATGCAAAAATTAGTCAGGGCATTTGAAGTCATCTGCGTTTGCATTTTAAATTTATCCTATCTATGATAAGTGATTTGTTACAACGTCGGAGAAACCACCTTTTTATGTTTAACACTGCCAGCATTGGTCGCGTAATAACAGTTTACTATACATTGTGTATTATACATTTGTGACATATATAATTATGTTAATCTAAAATTCATTTTAGGATGATTATGAATTGGTAGCAGATGTATATGATTCATTGTAAAAACTATAATTGATCATTGTTAACAGACAGTATGAGTCAACGTTATTTCCATGAAGAAGATTTACAAATGTACGAAATGAATACTTATGGTATACCAGCTGGTGTTACCAAACGAACGTCCTCACGTTATATCCTAACAATTAAATTCTGAGGCCTAGTTAGTGATCTATTTGTTTAATTATAACTAATTAACACTAATTTACAGGTAAATAACTAAAACATTATCTTTATGCAATATCGCTGCAATAACATTGATGCATTACTTAATAGGGTAACAAGGTTAATTACGATACTTGATAATTAAGTAATAGAAAGAGCATCGAAATACGAGGCTATTAGATGTGTACGAGGGGGCGTAGCCCCCGAGTACGAATCAGATTCCCGAGTGTTTTGATGTTCTTTCTCTTTTGTATCATAGTCAAACATAAGAATAAGTTCGAAAGGAGACCATTGAGGAGCTCTTAATCACAACTACGAATCGTGCACCTCTTGGTGCTCTATTCGAAAGGATCTCTTTAGGGTGCGACATAACACATTTTACAATTTTT